TGAGGCATTTGGTTCTCCACCACGTTAAATGGTGGTGGAAGTTTGATACCTCTGATGTGATAAGCATGGCAGGTGTTTGTTTAAAACCAACCTATTGAGTTTGTGAAAGGTTCCGTGTTTCTATCCATTATGCATAGTGATAGTCAAAAGAGTTTTTTTATTATATACTTTATAAAATTTTAAGCTGAGGAGAAGGCTAATGAAAAAAGTCACAAGATGTTAATAAACGTCTTTCATGATCTCATAAATTCATTGGCATCAAAGATATTATCCATATACATATAAACGTTTTTGAAGTTTTTATTCTGTCAATTTTAAAAAGAGCGAACCTTTATTTTTTTAAAATATTACGCAGACATATTAAAAAGCGAGCCTATTTTGAAAAATTTGAAGATTAAGTTTGAAGTTAATATAATGAATGTCACAGGATATAAATAAACGTCATTTTTGTTTTTACTGCCAAATTATAAGAATAAAAATAACGAATTGAACATAAATATTGAAAAAATGAACATTAAAAAATGCTAAGGTTATTTGATTGATCGATTGGGACATAATTTTCCAAAAAAAACGGGTTTCACAAAGCAATGAAATGCTATTTTCAGAGTCCCAATAATTTATCTATAATTATCGATAATGTTAAACGAACTAATCACTTATCATATAAACAATAATTCAAAAAAGTAAGCCTATTAAAATGCATTAATGAAAAATGATACATTAATCAAAAATGAAAAAAAAGAACTCTCTAACCTCCTTGGTAATTATTAGCAAAGTAACACAACCTAATTTTTTCATCAATTAAGTTCTGTTAATTCGATAAAAAATTAAAAAATATAAGGAAGATAATATTGTAAAGTTGCATGCTTAGTCGTTGACAGGTTTATTAGTGAATAGCAATATTCTGGTGCAAAAATAAAATTAATAATAAACAAAAATTTAAAAAGAGTCACGTGATGAAAATATACGAAGCTACCAAAAAAACAAAATTTAAAAAGATATTTATGAATATCTTTAAATAGCGTGCAATTTGCGAATGTTGATATATTTACAGTTTACAAGTGAATTTATTGTTTTGAAACATAGACCATTAACCTGACCCCATTATTTTGTGAGCTAGGCCAAATGTTTGTCTAGTTTATGAGGAAATGTTTCTGAAATCTTTTAATGTCAAACTGTCCATGAAAAAACCATTTATAAGTTTAACATTAAAAATATAATTTACATACACGGCACGAAAGTTTGAATTGAATTACGTGCCCCCGTTCTGACTATCACGTGACTCGCAAATATTAATGGGGCACGCTTGCGAGGTAGAGGCAAGACCGACGTTCTCGCTGCTTGCTAATAAATGTTTAAATTAGATTATTCCGATTGCTCAGGGTCTTAAGGTGCGTTTGTTAGGGCAGCATGTTTTTGAAAAAAATTAAAACATTAATTGGATTAAAAAAATTACCAAATTGAAAAAGTAGCAATAAATTTTGAAATAATTAAAATAAAAATAAAATTATTGGTGTCATGTTTGCTATTGGTTAGAAAAAATTAGTTTAATTTCGATACAAATATTTCCAAAATTTTTGAAAATATTTATTCCTTAGGCTAAAAACATCATTGTTCACTGATGGACGTGTGTGTATGAATAATTTTAATTCTTAAACTATTTAAAAGACATCAACTTTTAAATTCAAAGTCACAAACTGCAAACTCCGACACAACGTTTCTTGTGCCGCTCTGAAATATTATCAAAACCCCAAATTTGATTTGAGAATCAATACATACATTGACATTCATTCATATATTCATTCATATATTTATTCATTTATTGAACCATGTATACATACTTGAACAAATTATTTTAAAAACAATAAACTTTTAATTTTTTCTCAGCTGAAATGAAAAATTTAATTAATGGAATAATGCAGATAATGAAAGCCTCAGTAATGAAGAAATTATCACTAGCACATGGCTTCAGTAGGGCGGATCAAGTGAGGCGGGAGGCAGGGGGTTAATGCCCCCCCCGTTTTGAGCAGTTTTTAAATTAAAAGTCAGTAAAAGTAATTGTTTTACTGTTTTAACAGAAAAAGCGTCGTTTTTTTACAAATAGAAGGTCGTCAGCCTAATTTTGAACTCATATTGGCTTGCAGTAAAAATTGGAACAATTTCAAAGTTTTGGACATTCCCGTCCCGTCAAAGTTGTCTAGATCCGCCACTGCATGGCATCATATTTGCACGTTGGTCAAAATCTGTTTTTTTTTATTATTTGAACAGACAAAATAGTCCAGTTGCAAATTGAAAACTTGTTAGTTGGAATGAACAGTTTTGAATATTTAAGGCTTTCTCTATTATTTCTTACCAGGGAAAATGTTTAACATCTTTTTTACTTATAAAAAACTTTTTGAGAAAATAAACGACAATTGCTCTAATTTTTAATCCGAAATTTTTAAAAATTCTTGTGATATTCATCGCAGTTAATAACTGGTCGAGTGCTTTCATTTCGCACTGTGATTATTATTACCATTATCTAACAATTATTACAACTCTCACTGATGTTTTTCACAGGCACCGCTTGAATTATGTGGGCTATTCCATGAGAAGATAGTTTATTACAGCATTAAGTCAATCATAGGTTGTCTGGCAAACCATACCAAACAGTTGATTCAACAGCCACAAGATGTTTGTTATCCAAGACATAATTTGTTTTAGTTAGCAACCAGCTTTTATGATCATCTAAACTTAGTTGGTATAAGTTATATGACATATATGATAGATATATGATTTATGTTATATATATTTCTCAACTTCAAACTTCATTTATTGAGCTTTGGTTAGCATTTGACGTTTTTAGACATTGATTTGTGCTTCAAAAACATTTATTTTAATCTTACACTATTTTATTCATTGCAAAGTTATGACCAAACTTCTATCATTGCAATTAATTGCATGATTAAGATCATGATTATAATACTTACACGTTTTGTGTGGGAAAATAATAAACACTGTTAATTTCTTAATTAATAACACATTTACTTTTGTAATTACGTTTAGTGATTGAATAATTTGAACAGGTGAAAGATTGAACATAACATGGCAAACATCACTTGCATCATCTCCTGCATATTCCTTCAATGATGATGATTCATTCTCTGCCGATGATTCCAGTGAAGACGATGATGACAACGATGAAAATGATGCAGACGACGACATTGAGGATGATGTAGATGGAAAAGAATTAAACGCAAGACATGCCTTGTCCAACACCACAAAGAACGTAGAAATTCATTCTGACTCTTTCAGCCAGCCACCACAAGCCACTGCAAATGCTCCACAAGACCTATTCAATTATTCGCAACAATCAACTGCTTGTCCAATTGTTATAATGTTTATTGAAATGGACAAAGTTGAATTGAAACACACCGTCTGCAAGCACTCAGTAAGAAAAGAGTCCAAACAGATATACCTTTCAAAAACAAACAAGCTAACGATTCAAGTAAATTTTTTAACATCACCTAATCAAATGAACAAACAAAAACCACAGCGAAATTTAAAACGTTCACTGAAACCATTGGTCCTGCGATATGAAGGTAACTGTTACCTCTTTATTTTGTGGCAATGTGTGCAAAAAATGTTCACTTATTTTTTTGTTTATTATAGAGATTATTCAAATTTAAACTACTTTTTGAACTATTTCAACTGTTTAAATAACTTGTTTAGTAACTATTAGAAGCAGAAAAAAAGAAACAAACTAATGGGCGCAATTTATAACAAAATCAGCTAACATCCAAACGAAACAACGTCTTAACCTCGAAACGAAATGACAAACGGTCAACAACCAGCTGAACGCTTATCACACAGTTTTTAATAATTTATGCTACAGTGGTTTCGTACAATATTTAATTTAATTTCATGATCGTAGTGGTGACATAATTTGCGGTCCAAATTCTCACAGTTTTACATAGAAATTTCATTTAAAATTTAACTTCTTAACCCTCACCGCAGTTTCCTTGTGTAGTTCTGCCTTCATTTTCTTTCATATCATATTTAAACATCTGTTTCTGAACTTGATAATATTTATATATTTATTTCTTTGTTAATTTGTTATTTTTTTAGCATTTAGTCAATTATTGCAATTTTTACATTTTTTTAAAGAAAATGATATGACAAAATAATTCTTTTGATCATGTGAGCATTTTTTAAAAATAGATATATTACCTTTGTGAATGCACCCATGTCATAACAACGTTTCGGAATATATGGTATTCAATAAATTACAATTAAAATGTTATAAAAAGATACTTTTATTTCAAAATACTGATAATGAAAAAATAAAATTTTTACAAAAAAAAAATAAAATCACATTCTACATGTTCTAACCACTAACATAAACATTTTATTTTTGTAACATATATAGCGTGATTTTATTATTTATGTTGAAAAAAATAATTTTTTCATTCTTAGCATATTTTGATAAAAACTTTTCTATATAACATTTAATTGTAAATTCATACACGATTTTAAATGCCACCTGTCTCGTTATTTCGTTATTTGTAAGATGCTGCTTACAGGTTATTGACAAGAGGTTTAACCGAGATCTAGATGTTCACCTTTTTTCATTTTACAATTTCAACAATTGTTCACATAAATTCATCAAATGACTTAATTTGAAAAATAACATCACTGAAAATATTATTATACAATCTTTACTGCCATCAAATTATCCATAAAAACTTATTTAATTCAGAAGACGTTTTTAAAATACATATGTAGTAAATAATTAAAAATTATTAAAAATAATTTCCATGCAAGTATGCAGTGGTGGTTCTAGACAATTTTGACGGGGGTCCAAAAATAGGAAAATGTTTAATTAATTTTTACGGGGTGGGGGGCAAAATTTTCACGGGAGATCAAGATTTGTGGTAGTTTGGCTGACGACCTTTCTTTGCTTATCAAGTTCAATTTTTGGTCTATTTTTTCCTATAAAACGGTCTTTTATCTGACTTTTAATTAAAAAAACTGATCACATCGGGCATAGACCGCCACTGCAAGCAAATAAAACAAAAATCCACTCTAAGGAAAACTTTTCTACAGCTCTATGATTAAAAAACTTGAAAATGTCATTTAATAATTTTTTGATGTTTTTTAAAGTGTAAACATGATGTAAAAAATTCAAAATTTTGCGTTGAAACTTGAATATAAGAACCGGATAATACAATTAATGTCGCACAGTGCAAATTAATTTTAAATTAATTCCGCTCAGTTAAGTACTGTTCTTGTCAAGTAATTGAAAAACACTGATAATATTTGAAAATATACAAGCATATTATATTACGTCTCTGCACGTGTTGCTTGCTCGCGTATGAAATTGCAAACAGCGGCCGCGGTGACGTTCAGACGAGGAACGAGTTTAACCTTGTTAATTGACCGGCACAGCAATTGCATCATAAAACGACTGCTCTCAAATATAAAATCACGCTTCCTGGCACCACTTGCGCTTGCAAATGAGACCTGGCGCGCACAACGACACAACATTATTGTTCAACACGTGCCTGCCGACACAGAAAAATTTCAATCACGGTCACCGTTTCATTACGCGGTAGCACGTCAAATTATTTGTGACTTCATATAAATTTTTTTGTTCTGTAATCAAATATTAGTTTAAAATTGATAAGATATTCAGAAATACATTTGTCAAAAGAGCAAGCAAGTGATGCAATTAAATTTGTATTTAGATAAGTACGTTCAACGTGATTAGTTTCAACCATGAAAGGAAGAGAGCATGTAATAATTATAAGCATTGTCTGATTGGTAATAATTATCTTACCTCAATTAAACCGTTTAAAAAGCTCAAAAAATACCCACAATAAAATTTGATATTATTATGGCTATGATCGATATAATTATTATTATTGTGGCTCATATTTTTCAAAGTTCTAAGTTCGAATAATTTAAAAATTAACATAGGCGGGCATGGAACCAGCGACAACAATCGCTCAAAATAAATAGCTACTAAAAAAAGCTATTGCATGAGGAATGTTTGGGAAAAATTTGGTAAAATCAATTCCAAAATTATAAAAACCTGTGTTCATGGGAAACTAAAAACATTGAAGAAAGACAAACCACTTTGAAGGAAGGCGTTTAAAACGAAGTGCTACGAAAAGCGTTGTAATCAGATGGAATCAAAAAAGATAAAACGAGATTGTGGAGGACTAAACCAAAAAACCAAAAAAGGTTAAAACAAGAAAATGTTCGTAAAACAGTTGATGAGTGTGTGGTTTATTTCTATATGTAGCGGTACTGAGAGAGGAAGAGAAACTGAACAAAAAATGTCGAAAAACCTGTCAAAAATGGATGGATGACATTACAGAACGTGGAATTTAATAAATAAAAAACTTGACCAAAAATAAAAGATAATTTTAAAAAGTGACAAAAAAGATTTTTAGAAGTTAAAAATGTTGTTGATAGATTGAATACAAAATCCCTGAGTTTTGTTAAAAGTTGTTTTTCTCAGCTTTTTCTCTTCTTTATCCGATACGTAATTTTTTTTATAAACATTTGCTTTTGTATTGTTACTAGTGAGTTTAACTGCGATTTATATTAAAAAACATTGAAAACATTTATTTTACTATGACAGTTTTCGGCTGTTCGTACTCACTCCTGCCGAGTCTGGCAACGATATCGAACCATGGAAGCGACGTATCGATCAGCTGCAACGACTCTTACGAAATATATTACGTCACCTGCGTCGAGAACCAGTGGAAAGGAGAAATCGGAAACTGTTCCAATAATGGTTGGTTGACGTCTTTAGCAGCTCTGTTTGGTATTTGTAACGGCACGAAAAATTTTTATATTTTACGGGCTTTGGTAGTTTCAGCAAAATAATTTGAACTTTTTAATTTTGTTGAATTCATTGAATAACCATAATTTAGTTGTTAGAGTCCAGTAATGCTAATAATTATCTAAATTTGTACCAAAATATTACTATTATTATTATTATCAATTTTTTAAATGCTGTGAAAAAATCCGCAACATGGGCACTGCCAGGATATTTTTTGTATAGAAACTATAATTTTTTTGCAACAACAACTTTTATAATCAAATGTATCTAAAAATGTTTGGCATCTAAGTGCATGACTTTTTGAAGTTTCTCACATGTTTTTTAAACAAAAATGGTTTATCGCAATCGAAAATGAATTCAATAAACTTTAGCCAAATAAAAATTATTTTAATTATATTATTAAATTGTTGCACCGCTAATCTGATTGATCTTTTTTTCCAGATGTTATAACAAATTATAAATCAGTTTATTCAGCCAAAATTAAACTAGCTTCCGTAACAAGAATAAAATCTACTTTGTCTTCCTCGTGTTTATTTAACCTATCCAATCCCTAGCGCAATGTTCATCTCACACATATATATATTTACATATACATATAAATAAACTCAAAGATGCCTATAGATACCTACATATTCATATGAAAACATCTACAGACGAATATATACATAACACTCGCCCGGTCATAAGTCGGTTGTAGGTATATACTGGTTCATGTTATTATAACATGCCAAATCGATTGCTGTAACAGCTTGTTTTTTGAGTTGCCTGACAAATCAGTTGCTAAGATTCAGTCAATTCAGAATCGGGCTGAAAAATTAGTAGTGAAGAATTTTAAATTTGACCCCGAGACTCCGCTTTTAATGAACTTCACTGGTTAAAAATCAATAAAAGAATAATCTTCAAAAGTGGTGTACTAGTGTTTCGTTCATTGCACCTGACCTGAATGTTTATCAAACAAGTTGATCAGCAAGACAGTTGCATTGGGTGGGTATCGGCTTAAGATCGATCGAGCACCATGAAGCTGTTATTCGAACCTGAGACTAATTTACAGATTGGAATGCGCGATATAGCTGTTTCTGTTATAGCTGAGGAAGACAAAGTGTTTGGAAGAGTTTTTCGATGTTGCTGAAAAGTCCAGAACATTCTTTTTCTTTGTTTAAAAAAAATTGAAAACTTTTCTGTTTACATCAATTTAATAGTATTGTGTTTAATTGTTTAATTAAGGATTGATGACTTTTTCTATTTTCTTTCAAAATGGCAATGATTTATTTTGTTTCAACTTAGTTCCAGATTAATTTCTATTTTGAGAGTGCTTTTGAGAACTTTTCTTTAGTTAGTACTATATAAATAAATTCTTATCAATAAAAATAAATATAATATAATTAATAATAATATAAACAATAGAAATAGTATTATTAATGGCTAGTTTGACTGGGTGCGCTAGATGTCCGCTAATTAGGTCGCAAACGCCGTGACTACCAAGATATTTTTACTTTGAAAAATAATTTGAATGTTTTTTAACCTTTAAAGTAATTTTATAGAATACTTTTAATATTTTTCAAGTATATCAAGTTTTTTTTATAGTTATAGCTACATAAAGCAAATGAAAATTATCTCAAATTTTAAATATATGCTTCCATTTTAAAATACTGACCTAAGCAATTTTTTTTCTAGCTACCCCTGTGATTGCAATCAAGATTTTTTTACTAAAAATTATTTTAAATTAATTTCCATTTTAAGAATAATTATGATCATCAAACTTATTTAACCACATTATTAATTAGTATTTATTGTTATAAAGAATGAAATTTATTAAACACATAGTGTAATTAAAATAGCATGTTATTTTAAACGCAACTACGTTAAACAACCAGCCCAGAAGATTCGCCTGCCGTCCATGATCTCACAGCCTGGCAACGACTACAAACATGGTCAGTGCTTCTTCTGCAATTTCATCACATGTTCACTTATCATATGTTTGCTTTTCAAACTAGTGAACACCGGTCACTCGCTATTTGTTACATAATTTGTTACATAATGGGGCATTCCAAAAGAGTAAATCTTAACTAAGCGAAATCCCCAACATTCACTATTTCATCTTTACACTCCAGCACATGCGTCTTAACTCATACTAGGTCTTTTTTGCATTTTCATTATAACGATTTTTACTTGTGTATGTATGCGATTTGAAATTTTACATCTTTGTCGAACTCGATGCACGACATTCTTAATAAAGTTGTTCTTCATCTGCATGTGTCGTAATATTTTCTCTAAGCACAGAAACTGATATATAGAAATTATGCGGGTTTTTAGGTGTTTTTAGGTTTTCACAATTAGTTGATGATACATCTTTTACAAAATCTTCTCCTTCTTTGCCTTCTTATTATTGTTATTTATTATTATTATGATAATAATAATTATTATTATCTTAATAATAATTATTAATATTAGAATGTGCATATTTCATCTTTATGCCTTTTCATAAGTTTTTTATGTGTGGCATGCATTTGTTCGTTTTTACCTATTTGTTTATTTTTTTATTGTTTCTTTTTATGTTATAAGTTCGCTAATTAGATTGAATATTCATTTCAGATTAGTTAATTTATTAATCATTAATATTATTTTTATTTATGATTATTTAAATGTATTATTTACTCTTATTTTATTAATTAATTTTTCAAGTACCTGTGAATTTTACGAATCTATTTATTATATTGTAATTTTTTTTATGGGTGCTGAATTTTTTTGCCTACTTAACGTTCGTTCTTAACAAAGAAAGCATCAAAGTGCCAGCAACTTTATATGTCCTAAAAAATTTTTACAATTCAACTTCCAAGGCATTTGTTACCTCATTAAAATTTGTGCGTCCTGAAAATAAATTTCATTGGTACGTGTGAGTATAAGACAGGGTTTGCACGTTCTGTAACGACGAATCAATATATTGCTTCAGATATTTAGGAGACATTGCAAGCAGATATTGCAGCAGCTAAAATTATGTTCTTATGGTAAAATATAACGTCGACAATGTATAAATGCAAATTTAAAAGTAATTAAAGGAAAATTTGTATCCAATAAATCAATAGCATTTGCAATCGACTACGTTGGGAGCGCGTTTCAGTTAAATCATGGGATTGTCAATGGGCGCACAATAACATGAATGTATAATGTAACGTGCCCGTAGGAAAATGATTTGTGGAGTTGCTGCAACTCCGACCAATGCAAAATGTATGCAAATGATGAAGATCCAAGCTGCGTTGTTTTGTTAAGCGTCAAACGTTAAGCGAATGTTACGGGCATTATGAATTGCTACTTATTGTCGGATGGTCAAGAATCTTCTGTTAGATTTTTAAACTGTCATAGAAAAAAGTTCTTTGGTGAAAACACGTGACCGCAGGCAAATTTTGAAATTTATTTAGACCAATGGTTTTTTAATGAGAGAGTTTATTAGTGAAAAATGCAAAATACAAAGCTTAGTCACGTAGAATTAATTTTTGTTTGTAAAAAAAATTAAAAAAAACTTTCATCATACAATTTTTGTTTAAACGGTGAATTGTAAAACTTCTAATCTGACCGTATAAAGCTCTGTGAAGTCGCCGCACTATCTCTACATTATGAAATTTTCGTAGGAAGTCGAATTTTTGAAACAATTTTTCTGTTTACTTTTTTTGAAAAGTAAAATTGCTTTATTGTTATAGAAATTTCTATTAACAATCCTAAGTTTGGTAAAAAATGTGATGATAATACACTATAATCAGCAACTGCCGCACGATATTGAACCGTAAAATATTGATTGGCTGAGAAACTTTTTCAAAATTATAATAATTTTCTTGTTTTGTTCCTTTTTTGAGAAAATTTGTTCAAGATTGTAAAAAATACAGAGAGATAATGTTGAAACAATAAATATTAAAAAAAAACCAAGTATTCGCAAAAATGTTCCTACATTCATTCTCAGTCTCCTTGTTGTCGGTTTATGAAAGCGCTCCTGTATTTATCGTTTTGAGACGTGACCGAACAAAACTGAGCAGAGGAAAACTGTCTGTCTGTTCATTTGATAACCATTATATCCCAACCTATGAATCAATTATCATAATACTCGATAGAATATTCATTCTTTTCCATAGAAGTCTTGAAATGTGAGACATAACGTCGAATGTCCTGATTGTGTAATAAATTAAAATGTGGAGATCTTGTCCGGCATGCAGCTGAAAATAGCTGCAGTGCATGCCAACCTCGCAGTTGTGTTATCAGATGAAGATGCGACAAATAACTTGTTACGCTGATATTAAATTGTCAGAGCGACGCCATATAAACCACTATTAAAACATTTCTTCGGATGCCTGTCCCGCCACAAGATATTCCTGCTAACAAAGTGTTTTATCATTGCGTCTCAAAGGATGTGAATAAATTTTGAGAATATTTTTTAAGAATTTCATAACTTTTGTACGCTTCTTTCCGAACTTCTGCCAACAAGCAACTTGTAATGTAAAATAAATTACAAATGTTTGTAATGCAATCCTTACCGGCACGCACCAAAGCATACATCATCGTTTGTGCATGTTTTTAACAGAAGCAGATGAAAAGTGTGGCCTGTTGGACAAACATACAAAACAACAATCGCCAACAATCACTAACAATCATATCTTAACACGACACACGTCTCAAGCGATTCGATGCCGTATAAAATGCTTAACAAAAAGCTGACAATGCAGCAAACGTTACAAATAATACAATTATATACAAATAAATACAAATATATATGAATGTTACATGAATATTACAAATACAGACAAATGATACAATATATACAAATAAATACAGATATATAGAACAAATGATGGAACTATATACAAATGATACAAACGCTTATAAATGATACAAATACATACAAATGATACAAACACACACAAATGTCTATATAAATCTTTGGTACGTCCACAATTGGAGTTAAGTGTTCAAGTTTGGAACCCATACAGATTGGGCCTCGTAAAGAAATAGAAAAAAAAACAAAGAAGAGCAACAAAAATACTAAAATCTAGCTCACACCTTCAAAACAGTGAGAGATTAAAAAACTATACATCCACTCCTTAGCATATCGAAAAAGAAGAGGAGATACAATTTGTTATTTCAAATACTACATATAGATTAGATAGAGATTATTTGTCCGCCATTGTTTAGAAACTGTTTTTCTTCCACTGCCCTGGAGGTCATAATTTTAAGCTACGTGCATGTATAGCATGAAAAGATTGCAGGAAGTATTTTTTCTCAGAGTTTTACAGACTTGGAACGAATTGCCAGAGAAAATTGTGAATGCAACAAATTTAAATACCCTCAAATCGTTATTAGACACGTTTTTGGAAATAGGATATTCCTGTTTGCCTAAATTTCATTGTTAATTTTTTATATATCTTTTTCTCATTTTTTTCTTTTATTTTTTGTCTTGATTTTATTTGAATGTTTGCAGATTTAAATCTTCACTTTCACCTGCATAGGTAATTGAATTTTACATGTTTATCGGCGTTAGCTGTCCATTAAAGACTGTTTAAGTTTTACATCTTAGTTTTTTAGTTTTTTGCCGCGATCTGTTAACTTTCATTCTCTTGATTGTTAAACAAGTAACTATTTTTTATATGTCTAAATTTTGTCGAGACGGTTCATACATTTGGAATTGTTGGCCAGAGGCATGCCCAAGCCGTTTTTTCTTAAATATATAAATAGATGATTGAATATAAATGAAACAAACAAATACAAACGATACAAAGACATACAAATAGTACAACCACATTCAAACAATACAAACCCGTACGAATGATATAAGAAATTAAAATGATAGAATATAAATGAAACAAATAGTTACAAATGACTTTTTTGAAGCTCTTTTTTGTGATTTTTCTATCAAGAACAGGACGGTTTGATACAAAAAAAGTTTCATGTAGTTTCGTTGAAACATGTATGCCGCTAAATATTTTTAAGCCAGTCTTGAAACTAAGCAGCCAGACATTTCTGTAATATAACGATATTAAATGTTTGTATAATATTGTATATTATGTGTGTGTGTGTGTTTGTGTTGATCAACTGCAGTCATCTGATCCTTCGCTTCTTCAATCATCCTCTTCACTTACTGCATAGGGGCAAAATATTGTTAGGAAAGATTTATATAAATGTTAATTAAATAATAGCGGCGAATACACATTTGAAAGCATTATTTTGCAGGCAAGTGGATTAGATTAGATGCAAAAGTGAAACGAACTCTTCTTAATCCATTTGGTCGGAAAAATTTTATAAGAGTTACTTAAAAATGGACATATATATATATATATACATATATATATATATATTGGTAAGATTGGTTATATATATATATATATATATATATATATATATATAGGACGTTGGATGTCATCAAACTCGTTAAAACTAAACGAATGTAAAACTCAATTACTTCCGGTTGGAACGTGGCAGCAATTGCTGAAAATTGATTTTAGTTCTGTTAAAATAGGAGATGTTGATATATCATTAGCTGATACCTGGGTTTTTTGCTTGACAACAAGTTATCAATGAAAGATCACATCAAAAAGATCTGTACCTCAAGTCTTATCCACCTTAGAAGCATGTATAAAATTAAACATTCGTTGGATAGACCTACTTTACAAACTGTTGCAGTAATCAACTCTCGAGTGAACAAATGCATGAACCAGCGTCTGAATCGTAGAGACGTTCAATGATCCACGAATTTGATTCAATCTTCTAATCTGATAATTGCAGTCTCTTGAAACCCTCTTGATATGGTGCTTCATTGTTAGATTCGAATCAAAAATCACACCCAGTTTAGTCGTATTGTTACAAAATAAAATTGTCTCTTCATCAACTGTGATCGAGTTTATCTTCAATTTTGACAACTGCTGCCATGTTCCCACTGGCAAAAGATTAGTTTTATTTCGGTTAAATTTAAAGCCATTTTGCGACATCCATAAACCAACAAGCATTCTACGAATCATTTCCAACGGGAATGAATCTATTGTACTATTAACTATTATTTGAATATCGTCCGCAAATGCATGACTTGTCAACCCAAATGATTCAACAACGTTAAATACCTCTGACGTATAGAGCAGAAACAGCAACGGGCCAAGAACCGACCCCTGTGGCACACCAAAGACAACCCCATTGACGTCAGACATCTTACCTCCAAATGATACCTGTTGAGATCTACCAACCAAATAAGATTTCATCCATTCTAACACTCCATCAGAAAAACCAAAACCATATTGCAATCTATCTAAAAGAATACTGTGATCAACACAATCGAACGCCACACTCACATCAAGGAAAGCCAGAAGTGATTTCTTCTGTACATCCATTGTTGAACAGAGATCTGAAAAAACCTGCAACAGCCCGTCTCTGTAGAATGGCACTGTAGAATGGCACTGTCTAAAGCCAGACTGATGAAATGGCAACAAATTGTTACTCTTCAAGTGATCCAGTATCTGTTTAGCAGCCAACCGTTCAATAAGCTTAGAGGTAAAACAGAGATTAGACACCGGTCTTAGGCTGCTGATTTCACCAGGATCGAGATTATTCTTCTTTAAAAGAGGACACACAATTGCAGGTTTACACCAATAATTTTTTAGGAATTATTTTGCACATCTTATAACAAGATGGAAATTTACCAGTAATCAACGACAAGTTAATTAAATGTTTTAACGGTTTCAAAAGTGTGTAGCCTAATTTTTTTAGAATGAAATTGGAAATATTATCTTTACCTGAATTTTTGGAATTTTTTAAATTTTTAATAATACTGTAAATTTCACTTTCATTGGTTTCTGTCAAAAAAGATGAATCCGTCTGGGAATCACCCAGATATTTTGCGAATGAAATATTATTAGATAAATTGTTCACGGAGAACTCTTTTACTGTATCAGCGAAGAAATATATATATATATATATATATACATATATATATATATATATATATATATATATAATGTGTGTATGTACGAATACATAAATGTATATATGCAGTAATTTATGAAATCGACCGAACTTCTAGCGTTGAATAGTTTTTTATTACTTGGATAATACTTCTATTTTCAATAAATTGAACAATTTTTAGAAAATTCTAGTAAGGAAAATTGAAAAGACAAACTTTAAATTGATTAATGACGAAAATTCGGTATAATTCATACAATACAGTATATAAACATGTATGTATGTATATTGTATATGTATATATAGCTGCGTTGTATCACTTTTTTAGGTATTTCAAAAACGACAGGAGATAGTTTAATAGAGTTTTGACAAAAAATTAATGTTCAAGTATTTAACATATTATGTTGACCGGAGAGGTGGTGTACTCATGTAATGTATTCCCATGCATTGTAAATGTTGGTAACAGTTCCACTTTTTTTACAATTTTCCATTTAGAACCAGTGTTATTTTTATTAAAACTGGTTAAGCATTATTGTTTTAGTCCTCGGTTAAATTTTTTTTTAGATTCTGCTAAATTTAATTTTAGCCCTAACTAACTTACTTCAATCCTTTGATATTATTGATATAAGATATTTATTATAACACCACTTGGCATTTCCATTATAACACCATAGACATTTCCAAGTCTAATGCGTTGGACGCATTAGACTTGGAAATATTAAATATTCATTCATTCATTCATTCATTCATTCATTCATTCATTCATTCATTCATTCATTCATTCATTCATTCATTCATTCATTCATTCATTCATTCATTCATTCATTCATTCATTCATTCATTCATTCATTCATTCATTCATTCATTCATTCATTCATTCATTCATTCATTCATTCATTCATTCATTCATTCATTCATTCATTCATTCATTCATTCATTCATTCATTCATTCATTCATTCATTCATTCATTCATTCATTCATTCATTCATTCATTCATTCATTCATTCATTCATTCATTCATTCATTCATTCATTCATTCATTCATTCATTCATTCATTTATTCATTCATTCATTCATTCATTCATTCATTCGTTCATTCATTCGTTCATTCATTCGTTCATTCATTCGTTCATTCATTCATTCATTCATTCTCTAACTGTTATTAAGCATGATCACAATTTTGAGTTAATTTTTTTAGACAAACAAATGAATATTTTTGCTAGCAGTTTTGCCCGATCATTGTTTATTAATTGTCTTTATTATGAATTGTTCATTTTATTCATTTATTCTTTAAACACTGAACAATTCACAAATGGTCGTTTACAAATAAACAACACTTACATTTATATTTGCAAGAAGTTTCAAAAATTAAAATATGAAAAATTTTTGTTTTTTGAGAGATGTTCAGTTCATGAATGGTAGGCCTCGAGGTTGAAGCAGATGTTCAATAAATGTTTGATGCATGGCAACCATTTCAAGTGAACGTCATCAGCATCGCCTGCTATGCTACCAGCATTCACTTTCTTAGCACAATATGTAGATTTACAGTCTGGTTAGTTTTACTGTGACTGTGTTTTTGTGCAGACGGCAGCAATTTTTTGGAGGAGTGAGGCGATAATCGCTGATTTGTGGCTCATTAGAGACTGCAGTTTTTGTTCTGCTCTGCATGTTTTATTCTGTTCCTTCTTCATTCAACATCCTTGATTTTTCTCTAGTTTTTCAGTTTTTTGAGTTTGTTTTTTATATTACAAAGAATCTCATTTGATTCGGACTGAAAAATTACATAAAAACATTTGAAAGTATCTTGCGTTTAAATGTAGATAGATTGCTTCGAATATGTTTCTGTGAGCAAAACTGCTCTATGCCAGGGGCTACTTATACATACGTCTGCATTCAGAATTTCATTCCTATTCATTTTGCTTGCATTGTTTGGGACAATCTTTAAATTTATATTATTTATGTTTAATTCCTTTCAATATGAAAATTGTGTACATTTAATTTTTAATATGTTAAAAAATAATTAATAATTTATTTATTAATAAAAATCCTTTCAACAAAGAAAACAAAAAATTCAAACATTCTAATCATCTACAAAAGTAACGAAACTTGATTTTAAAAATTATTTAATTTGTATAGAGTTGAACGCGAAAAGCAGAAAAGTCAAAAATGTCATTTAAATTTATTCAAGAGCCAGTCCTTATAATATGGTTTCGCGGTGATATATAAGGCATAAAATTGAGACCATGCAAGCGTGACAAACCAAACATTTTCAGCGAACATGCATCATTGCACATCAAACAAAAGTGCATAAACATGGCGAAATGAATATTTATAAACAACTCCATAAATATCTACGCATACTAAAGTATTAAAGCGAGAACATGAGCATACTTATAAAGGTAAGCTTTATATGTATCTATTATTGAAAAATATAATAATCTATAATGTTTAATCAATTACCGTTAAATAAATAGTAGATTTTTGTTTAGTATTTTTTATATGCAGTTTTTCAATTTTCTCAACCTTTCTTTTAGATTCGTTTTTTTTTATTTCATAGACCCATCAATATCATTTAATTTTTCGCTTTTCAATCCCTTCGATAAAGATAGGCACTTTTGAAAACTTAAGTCAAATGTTCATTTTGTGGACCTTTTAACGAATTCTCCAGAATTGAAATTTAAATTATTTTCTGACTGGTGTTTACTCAGGCAGAGTTGATAGTTTACTTAAGCCTTGTCCGATTTTCCGATATATTATAACAACATCCTATTTAATAGCATCAAAGGAAGTTTCAATCTAACATATTTTTGGCATGTTCGAACTTTTATTTTCAAGTGTTGAAGCGTTTGTTGATGTTTCAAAGTGAATATTATTGTTATTTATACCAGGCAAATTTTCTATACAATTTTTAGCCAATGTTTTCTGGCTCACTGATGCGAAAGTGTATGTAAAAAAAAATTAATTGCCACACATTTTGAACAGTTAAAATATTCAAAAAAAGAAAACACGGTGGTACTGGTGAAACTGTTTTGTTAAGTTCATCCAAGAAACAAATTCAACACTTGAGTAAGCAGTAAGACAAGCACCTAGATCTAGGTCTCACGTATATGAGCAAGTGCATGTCTCGCTCACACATCTTAAACATAACACCACACACACACACACACATACACACACACAAACACACACACATATATATAAATATATTATAAATATATATATATATATATATATATATATATATCAAGCACAAGTTTATTGCATGAATGAATTCAGATATTTGTTTTGTAGCGTGCATAGGTTTACGCATGCATCTGTCATGCACCAGCAGATTTACTTGCTCTTTATGCAGGGGTAACTGTCTCGCACACCGTCCAAACATTTGTATGGAATGTGCAAGTTTAAACGCTAAAAATCTTTTCAAAAAAGATAAACGTAAGCGTGCAATTTAATGCAAACTCCCTCTGTATTTCCCAACTAGATAATAATAGTCGTACCAAGACAGTAGCAAATTAGTTACAATTTTTTTCATTTTGTTATTGAAATCTTCATAATGACATTTCACATTTAAGCTGAAAGTTAAACAAAATATGTAGCCTAATTTAATTTATTTCGCAGCAGCCTAATAAGCAAACAACTTACCAACAATTAAACAACCCACCCAACAATCAAGCGATCTAATTGACTGGAATTTCTTTTGGCTATTGTTCCAATAAGCATTTTTATGAATCTTTTTTTAGTAGTTCTCAGATGCATCAACAACAAACAAACACACAACGCATGTAACTAAACCTGAATGAAGGCGCTACACGCTGCATGTGATAGGCGAGAACCTCTTTGCATTCGAACATGATCACTGCAGCAGCAACGCCAGGCATCTTAACCGCTACTCCATCATTCGATGAAACGAAATGGTTAATAGTTGTGGATGTGAGTCGACTGAACACCAACCAAACAGGAGTGGCACTGGCGATCCTGACGGGAGTTGGCCTTGGGATGGTGACGGGCAGCGTCATGTTGGTCAGCATCTGTCTCTTCAGGAAAAGGTTGCCAGAGATTTTGTTTGTTAATTAAATTTGCATTGTTGCAATTTTAGGCAAATGGTATTGATAACTTGTTATATATCAAACGTTAAAAAGTTAAATTTTTGTTGATATAATAATTATCAAATATTTTGTGTTTATTGGAAAATAAATCATGAAAACCCCACAAAAATTAATAAATAATTTTTAAAAATTTTTACACCAGTTATTTTCATTGGGTGTTTAGGTCTATGTTATGTTCTATTCTGCACGGCCAAAACACACAATGAATCTAACATATTCTATCCAAAAGAAAACATTAAAACAACGCAGCAAACAGCTTAAAAATGTATTCGGTCGATAAAATAACCTAACAGATCTCCAGTGCGGTCCGGAGATTTACAAGATTGACCTCTGCCGAACTTTCCACACATCCATCTAAATTCTCTTTATTTTGTAATGCGCTGATGATGCTGCCTGCATGTTTTATGGCTCTGATGATTGTGACTATGAAAGTAATTAAATGGAAGCGCCAAAAAATGTTTCGCCTGTTATTGCTGATACTATTTGGGTTAATTCTAGCTTATAAATACATTTTACATATTTCGCAATTGTTGCACACTCACATAGAGCTGTTTTAAATGAAATTGTGCTGAGTTTGTGTGTTTCGCAAAATTACAAATACGTGGTCTATTTTGTTTCTACGCCTATAGGTTTATAGCAACTTCGTCGAAATTAAAGAATTAAAACTTTGTTATTTAAACATAAATATTTATCTAATTTGAAAAAAATAGAAATAAATTAGTTTATTACAATCAATAATTTAATTTGTGCACAAATTTAAAAAAACATTCATGTAGCCCATAAAATCTTGTTAAATCTTTCATGACTGAGAACTGTGAGATAATAAAAGCAAAATATTTCTGCCGTAAAAATTTTTAAACTGATATTCAATTAGCAAAACATGTCTTTCAAACTAGCCTGAATTAATAAATAATAAACTTCAAAATTTTCATTGTGGTATTTATTTTCAGAAAAAGTAGCATGGAACTATCAGCAAGAAGAAAACAAAACAACGTGCCATATCCATCAATGGCTGCAGATAACCACACCGGCATCAGTGACAACAACCACAACAGCCACAACGGCAACCACAACAACAATATTAGTATGACAGAAAATTCATGCCTCGTTCATCCTCAGCATGCATATTGCAGCGCTCTTGACAGAACGTGCCACGTCAAGGTTAGCAACGAATGCAACAAGGCATCCCTGCTGCAAAACAAATCTCAACCGCTATGCAACAAGATAGATCTTAAAGAAGAAACTTATTGGCTGTCTAAATGCGACCACAGCGATTGTTCATTATACTGTGATTGCCTCATTGAAGACATCCCTAAAACATCTTCAAGCAGCTGCTGGCCATCAATAATTGCAGATTCGAATTTCTACAACAGCCCAAACAACAGCAACGATAACGAAAGAGTTCTTAGCAATCCAACATCCACATTCAAATCGATAAATAACCAAAAGACAGATTCGAGTACACATTCAAAAAGCCCACACCAGAAATACTTGAGTTGTCAGCAACAAATGCTGCAGCAGTTTTATAATGTTCGCCAGATGACACAAACATCAAACTTGTTGAACGAACCTTGTCTGTTTCACGTCAACCCAGCAAGCTGCAGTGCAGCTGAAACGTCCCACCGATCACCTTCAACCCTCCTTCCTAGCGACGCACATCTTATAAACAGGGCCACCCCAAATGTTCCAACAACAAATCAAAATGCTGCAACATCGACATTCCTTCCCACCAAGAACCTTCGCACTACAAATAGTAACAACAAATTTCAAATTGTTTCAAAATAATCTCTGTCGGTGTTTTTTACTTTTAATTCTTACAAAAATAATTCTTTTTTTATTATTTAAAATTTTACTGGAAATTTGAAAAATACTTCTTCACTGATACTTATTCCCGTGATCAAAGCCCATGATATTGAAATGTTTAACATTTTAAAAATTTCTGTTTACTCGTTCAAGAGAATTTAGCAATAAAATATAAACAAATAGTTGGATACGTTGCTGTTTAAAGATGAGTGGCGGGATTGACGCTGCGGTCAACCTGAGGATTAATTAAATTGTTTATATGATGTTTGGTGGTGATTTTAATGATCAAATATCGTGAGATCAAGAGAGAGAATATTTTTTCTGTTGCTGTCTAAAAATTAAATTTACTTTTTGTCACCTCTGTTTAAAAATTTATAGGCAGATATATAAGTAACATGTTATGCACGGTCTGATGCGTTTTCCTGGTCTCAATAAGCACCATGTCAGTCTTGTGTGTGTGTCAGTCTTTGACTTATCATCAAGAGAAATACTCTACTTTTCGCATCAGAAATGCAATGTATGTCTTGTTCCGACGCTGGCGAACGAGTTCAAATAAATCAATGCCTTTGCTATTTATGCAATATCAGGAGGTATCTTCCAATTTCATTTAAAATTGGCAAATAAACAAAACCTTCAATCACAGTTTATGGTGAATTTTTTGCAGTCACCATGATGATCTCATTTGTTATCGATGATATATTTATTTATTAATAAATAAATATATAAAATACATTAAAAAACTCCAAAAAAATTAACACACACAGACATCACAGAAATCACACAATTAAAAATCAAAAGTTAGATTTCCAGTCAAACATGGCATCACCAAAAAACCATCAACTCAGTTATAAATTAATATATTAATAATTGGATCTGGCCTGCTGGCTCAACGTTTAGAGCGTCAACAACACTGTGTTGCACTGACCTGTTTCAAATGCAAAGATATCAGTCCACACCATTCGAACGTTGCAGTCACATTGAATACCACACTTATGCGTGTTGACGCTGTCTGCAACTGTCGAACGCTTCAAAACACCGCTGTTCACTAGGTGGTGCATACTCTGGTAAAACACGAACTGGGATCTGGCAGTCTCTTGGCAAAAGTTTAAACTTCATTCCGTTTTGTGTTTTCTTACTGAACCTTTACTGGAACGAAAATCAGCCTTGCAATAAAAACATTTTCAAGAAAAGCATCAACATTTGATCATTCAATCATTCCACTCAACCTATATAAGCACGCCTCCTTTACCTAGGTTACACTTATTTTAACGTAGCCAAATGTAAGAAATAAATTTTCAATTTACAGATGATGAATATACGTAGTGAGAGAAAAAAATATGAGGAAGCATTTGTGTCTTGTAAAGCATGGCAGCTTGTAGGTTTGTAGGTATCGATCAAATTCATTTAATCGCCAGTTGAATGAGATATTAAAATCGCGAGCACGCGCCGAACGCTACAGCACAGCACCAGCACAGTGGAAAGTAACGAATTTGACGTATGTTATATATATAAATAAATTAATATCAAGAGTAATTGAAATCTACGAATGTGATTCGTTGTTAATCGCGATCTCTTTTTCCTGCAATTTTTCCACTAGTTGTTAGATTTTCCAATCTTTCTCTCCGCATGATGTGACCAAAAAACTTTAACTGCCCCCGTCGGATTATCTGTAATAATTTCCGTTTTAGTAACCGGGCCGCTTTAATACATCCTCATTCGAAGTATGAAAGGTCCAACTAATTTTTATAATTTTTCTCAAAGAATGATTATTATCAAAATTCATAGTTGTGAAGTTCAAAAAAAATTTAAATCCCATAATAGTTCAATAAAGTTTGAAATTCAAAGTAGAAAAACAAAAACAAAAAAAAATTAGGTTTATAAAAGTTTTATTGAGCTAACAGATTTTTAATTTTTATTGACGACATTGCTGACTGACTGGCATTCAACAATGCTGCCCGCAGTTTGTCACTGATATCAAAATTTGTCTCCTTCATTCAACTCTGTCCAACCTCACTCAACAGTTTGTTAATGACGCTGTTATATAAAACAATAAGCCGGCTAATTTTTTAACTATTTTTATAAAAATGGTCTATATTTATTTTGCGGCAATTAGAGCATTACAAAAATTGGCTGATTGCTGTTTCTTAACGTTTGATAACTAACCAACGTTCTAATCAACTCAATTCAATCACCAATCAATCAAATCAATCAATCATTTCACTCAACCTATTCAAGCACGCCTCTTTTACCTAGATCTCGATTTCATTGCAGACCATCCACTCGTAAATCTTGCTTGAATGGAACATTCTCTACAACTTCAAAATGCTAAAATTGAAAAATAAGATTTACAAAATATTTTTCTACCGTATTTGTTGGGGCTCAATTTTTTGGATTGCAAGCGCTGAGCTGCTGTACGTTCGTTTTTAAGTTTGTTCACTCCAGAAAATATTTCAAAACCTCATCGAAACTGATCTGCCTGACTATTCCATTCCGCAGAAAATCACAAAATTTAAACGATGAAATCTGTTAAATGTTAATTTTATTTTTGCTAGCAGCCGATCTAACAACATTTTATACATCAATTTCTAGGTTTCTGTGTGGTTGTTCTTATAGTGAAGTTATTGTTTTATCTTGTATTTCAGGAAGTCGCTAAAGTAACTTGTCAAGATCTTCCAGCTAAAATAAATAAAAAAACTGAATTTAAATATTTATTCAAGTTACAATTGGATGACACCAATTATAACGTGACAAGATGGACGCTGATAACCATGCAGACAGAAGTGAGGCAGTTAACAAACATGCAAACGGATGAATTTATTTTTCCCTACATATCATTCCATAAATTGAAACGCTAATCATTCAAGTCAAGCAGTGCCACAAAAACCTTCGCTATTCGTGCTTTTGTTTAAAACGAAATGACTCGACGTTTATATTTTAAATCCTAACAATTTTAAGAAATAAACAAATAAATAAAAACGTTGCTGTAATAATGATGAAGCGATTATTATTCATTGTTTAAAGAAGAAAATAGCTAAAATAGCATAATTAAAATGTTTGATCCCACCAGTAGCGTGCCTATATTATATATATATATACATATATATATATATATATATATATATATATATATATATGCATATTCTACATAGACATATATACAGAGATATATACATTTTTAAATGCTGAAAACACTTTCCTAACTGCTGTAAGCAATTATCTAAGATATGTGTTCATCAGCATATCATGAATGCCGCGTTATCAACATGATGTTTGTTGCTTCGCACGTTCGCCTGCCTCATCTTCTTCACGTTATTAATACATCGCAACCCGTCATAACTTCATATATTCGGCCTATGTGTTATACATAATGCCTGTACATTACACTGGGTTGTATGTTATTTATTGTGCATCATTTAAACACCACTACATGTTAATTAATTTTGTAATTGAATGAAAACAAAATGTTTTGTAAATCCAGCTAAATTAGAGAATGATTAAAGCGTACGATATGAAAAGTTTATCTTACATTACACATACCTACAAAAAACAGGAACACAACAACAAAAATAAAATGATTGAGAAGATGTTGTGCTTCATTTATTTCATTTGCTAGCAAGCTCAGCAGCAAGGCTGGAAAGTTTTACAACGTTTCTCCTTATTTAACAATTGAAAATCTTCCTTTCGATCGGATTGTTCTTCCCCTGCATCTTCCATCCTTTCCATATTTTCATTTTTTCATTTTTTCATAACCAGGTTGGTTTTATTTTGGATTTTATTTATTTTACTTTTTTTAAAAATACATTAATTTAAACTTTATTTATAAATATTTTTTATAAAATTTTCTGAAAAAATTAAATTAAAAAAAGTTAGTTTTTGCAACGCGTTATATATTAAATATATTTTCTTAAATTAGTGTTTAAAAATTAACATATATAAAAACAAATAATAAACAACATAATGATTCATGTAACTGTTGTTGATCAATTTCTCAATTAATTTCAACAACTGCTTTGTTGGAGTAAATTAATGAATCGAGCTAAAATTTCAAAATCTGCAATAATTTTTTGATAAATTTTCTTGCGTGCTAATTTATAAATAAGTAGGTAGCTTCAAATAATTGGAGCGAAATGCTTGAGAGAACATGAATTTTATTGAAATGAACACTAATTCAGAAGGAGACATCATGGATCCAGTTGGCTTGGATGAGAGTGATCTTGAACTGTTGGATCAAAACAGATTGGAGAGGGATCAGATTCTGCTGGAGATCAACGAACTGAAAGAGAGAAACGTAAGTTTTATTTCAATTCATTTCATGCCTGCTATTTTCGTTTTGTGTTGAAAGTTGGTCTGTGTTGCTTCGCTACATGCTGCTACTTGCTATCTGTCTGATTGATGTTTTTTTTATTAGAGGCATTAGAACGTTGCCAGCGTTTTAGTTTATTCGTGGTTGTTGTTGTTATTGTTCTATTATTGCTTTAGAACATTTTTCACACGATAAATAAATTGAACGCATCACGATATTTATGAACAAATACGAATTAAGAGATATTCCAAAACATGGAGTAGAATTTGTAGACTTGACTAGCAATTAACGAGCGATATAAACGTTTATCAAATTTATTGCTAGAAAATCTGTCAAAAGTTGAATCACCAAATTTGAAATTCAAATTTCTGCTAAATTCAATTAAAAATAAATTTTTCCCAAAATATTACATATAAATAAGAAACAAATAATTTATAAACTTGTTTATTAAACGCAGTCAGAAATCGTAGTAAAATGTTTAAACAGAAATGAATCGAACTGAATAATATTTGCACCTTCTGATTAAGAATTTTATAAGAAGGCATGTTGACCATTTTAGAGTCCGTACAAGAACTTAACTAGTATGGTCACTTGAACAGAAATCTCAAATTGTGTTCACAGTTTTCGATATAAACAGTCCAAAAATAATGGTTATTAAATAATTCAAAAGCACGTTGATAAACAGCTTAACTATCTACGTAGGTATAACTATATTAGGCGCTTGTGATATTGTTTCGTTGCATTTTTTTGCAAGAGTCGTTAAAAAATAAACATCATGGCATAATGTTAAAGAGATGGTTATACCAAAATTTCACTTAAAATGCTATTATTAAAAAATTAATTGTTTTTAGCTAATAACAATTTTAACGTAATATTTGATTTAGAACATAATGTTTGGAATCTAACCAGAAAACCCTGGATAAACAATACAAGATATCAATATATTAATTGATATATATTGAATCGGTAGCCAATTAAAAGGCCTTGAGATATTTAATTAAGTTAGGATAATTAATTTAATTAATAAAAAATGATAAAATCTTTTTAATATGATCAGTTTTGTTAATATTATCAGATATTCCATATGCAGCTGAAATTAAGAAACGACAAGTTAAAGAAAAAATGGACTTTTTTCAAACCAACATTTGTTTATGCAAAATTGTGAAAATTTCATTCAAAAACATTTTTCGACAACAAGTTAATTTGGTATGTGTAAAGTTAATTTATAATGTAAAGCTCTTCTTTTTCATCGACGCTAATTTGCTCGCCTCACCTATTGCAAACATTTAAACTTTATTCGCCAGAGCGTTAATTAATATATTTTATTTATTTATTAAAACTCAGTAAAACTGAGTCTTTACACAAGAAAACACCGTTTTAAGTAGAAAATTTACCAAAAAATTGCGCTATAAGATCAAAAGATGGTCGCCGTCAGTCAAATTTTGGCCACGCCAGCATAAATGTTGGCTGTAATTTTTCTCTACCCTCAAATTTCAAAATTTCGGCTAGACCGTCAACGTTGTCCCAATCCTTCCTTGCACGTTGCTTGGTTCAAATTTAAAACACGTTTGTCGTAATTTAATATACTCTTGGTTATTTTTTTGCATATGCAATGTGCAATAAGTTTCAACTTTATAAATCTGACGTCGAACTCACTTTGATAAAGACACCTGATGAGATGTACATTTCCAGACAGGCGACCATTCTTGTTAGCGTTTCCTATTCTGCGGTTGTCAGCAAAACTATTAGAGACAGTACAAACTTAAGTTTTTTGTCGCGAGACCATATCAACACTATTACTTGAAATTAAATGAAAACTATTTAAATGTTGATAAAAAATATAAAAATGATGTAAACGTGAACATTTTGATGATTGATGCAGGAGAGAAGAAAGAAGGAGAGAGAGGAGGAGGAACACAGGCTGGCAGCTGAACGTGCCGCTGAAGAGCAGAGAAGAAAAGCTGAAGAGGTTCGCCTGGCTGGCTGTTTGTTCGTCGACTGTTTTGAAAGTTCAACTGAGAATTTATGATGTGTTATTGCGATTGTTAAGTTGTTTTATCGTAACTTTCAAATGATCTCAATTTGTACTAAAATGTTTCATCCTACCAAACAAATAAACCCAAAATTAGGAAGAGAGAAGAAAAAAAAAGGAAGAGGATGATATCAAAAGAAAACAAGATCGCGCTCTAAAAATGGCTGAATTTGAAAAATGGAAGAACCCACCAAAGGCCAACTTCGTCATCAGCAAGAAAATTGGAGCTGCTCTGGGCTCTGAAGTTAGTAGTCTATTTTATAAATAAAAATTTTGAAACTCATTTTGTTGATGTCAATAAAATTATAAGCAGTTCAATAAGTTCTAATCAATGAGTTGATTGATTAAAATAATTATCATCAATTAATTAAGCAAATTTTTTTCAATTGCAGCCTGAGAGTGAACAAGTTGGTGTTTTTTTTCCTTTTCATTGGTATGAATGTTCTGTGATGTAAATTTAATATAAATGAATAAGTTGGGCAGCCTGGTGGTCCTGGTTCGCAGTGGCCGAGTTCGAATATGACATTCACACGCTTTGTGTGTGATGCGTCCTTTAGCACTTATTCATCATACACGTTATTTGTTTGTTTGTTTGTTCGTTCGTTTGTTTGTTTGTTTGTTTGATTTTCGTTCCTCTGAACTTTGGAGAAGTGTATATGACTTAACTTTTTCATTATAATATGGGTAAGAATGCGCTTAAGTAACGGATTTTTGAACTTACCAACCTAACTTTTGGATTGTTAATAAAAACTCATCATAAAAAATTGCAAGGATGAATTTTGCTAGTATTGTATTTTAGCATGCAAGCACACACACACAAACACACACATATATTTGTGTATATATATATACATATGTATACATATGCTGGAGTTTAATAAATTATATTATATGTATGTATATATATGTTGAAGATTATATATACATATATTATTTTTTATTTTTTTATTAATTCATTTATTCATTTATTAATAAATAAATTTATTTATTTAACTAATGCAAAATCCATTTAAATCAAACTAATAAACTTCAAAATTTGAAACGGCCCTCGTTACTGATATACGAACGTAGGATGATCAGAAGAACAAGAAGTCCAAAGAGCAGTTGGAATCTGAGAAGAAGGCAATCTTGGCTCAACGCATCAGACCATTGGACGTCAGCGGCTACGATAGCTCCAAGCTGGCTGAAAAGGCTAAAGAACTCCACACTCTCATTGCTCGCCTGGAAGGAGAAAAATACGATTTGGAAAAGCGTTACAAGACCATGCAAGTCCAGGTGATGAGGATCAATTTAAATTCATTAATTCTCTCCGGTAGATTCATTAATTCTAACGGTAGATTCTATATATATTCCAGATAATATTACATGGTGTTAACATTGAATTGAAAAATATTTTCAGCTGATGGAGTTGGCTGACAGAGCCAGGCAACAGAATGTCGTCGGGTGAGTCTATTAGATTTTTTTTTATTAAATTCTGTTAAGAATATTGAAGTAAAGAAAACTATAATTTAATAACAATTTTTTTTCAGCAAAGAAGGTGGTTTGAAAAGAGTTCATGGAAGTGAAGAGTAAGATTAAACGTTCTGTTATTTGGAATAAAAATTTACAGTTGCCATGAATGACAACCTTAAATCATACGTAGATGTTTCAATAAATTCAGCTAGCTTTATAAACTTTTATGCAATTTGCATTATAGAACCGTCGACGTTATTCAGACGAGATTCGCTGGTGCACCTGTGAGTTCGACAATTTCCGAAATTTCAAAATTTGATAACGTTTGCTAAAATTTAGAGCATAATTTTTACGTGTTGTTAAGTCTCTGTTTATTTAAATTTTTTAAATATTGTTAAATAACCACTTTACAATAATAACCATTAAATAACTATTTGACATAACAGTCGAAGGTCGAAATGTACAGCAAATACGAAAGGCAAAAGGACAAGAGGTCGTATGATGACCGCAAAGAAATTTACACGGGACCGCTCTTCTCATCGCACGCCGAACGAATCCAACCACAGAAAGTGGTGGCATGGAACGAAGAACGCATGCCAACTTACCAATGTTAGTTCAGGGCTTCTGAGAATTTTGCAATATTTTATAAAGTTAATATTATTACTTTTATTGCAAAATGATAAAATATAATTTGTTTCGACAGAAATCGTCTGATGGCCTGAAAATTTGAAGATGTTTTAGTGTTTTCGATTGATCAACATAAATGTATATTTTTTATAATCTGCAATTTCAATAGAGTTTGTTTACTTTTAATATTAAAACACAATTCATCTGTATATACAAACATTTTGTTACTAAAAATAAAAATTCAGAATTAAGAACAACACCATGCACCCTTTACGAAGTCTTAAAGCATGCATCGTGGCGTAATAATGTTTCACATGGAGAAAATATATGCAAGTTGAAACTGCAAAATTTTTAGCGTGGAAAGTGAAAAACCACAGGTGATTAAAATTATTTAAAAACAATAGTTGGTGCAAACTTCACTCTGTTTCTGTATAGGAATGCAAATGTCTTATAATAACAAATTTCAGTGAAAACCTCCTTGTCTCTCGTTCACATTTAGAAATTTTAAAAATTAAGTAACTTTTAAAAAAATTAAAATATTAAAAATAGCATTGCGTGTGTTGAAATTCTGTTTTAAAATGATTGTGAAAGAAATTGTAGAACAAGCAAGTGAGATGAGAGAACCGAAATTGTGCGTAGGAATTAAAAACTTCGATAGATGTCAGGACGTCGAGATGGCCTTGTCTTTGCTGCCGTTGCCGAAGTTCCAATCCAAAAACAAGCTCTTCAAGAAGTCGTCGAAGCACCTAGTGATCAATTTTATTATGAATATATATATATATATATATATATATATATATATATTGCATTGTAAATTTGTAAAACGCCTCTATTGATTTATCTTCAGAGGCGCTAATTTTGCTTCGTTTTGTTGAAAAATGATGTTTCAAGACGCCTTTAAGTTTGATGTCAGAGTTGACTTTTAAATCAATCGGTAATGAGTTCCAGGTCCTGGCTGCTGCAACTGAAAACTTTCTTGCACCAAAATGAGATGCTTTGAACGGAGGACAGAATATCTCCGTGCTTTGCCGATCTCAGTCGATTCCGACTAGGAACGTCCGATATCAAATTTAACATTTCCTTGATAAGCCGGTGCTCTTCCATCCAGACAGTTTCTTACCCTAAAAGCTATTTTAAATAGAATTCTGTCCTCGACCGACAGCCAATGAAGTTTGTTTTTTATGTAATCAGAATATATATACATATAGCCTATTTACGTACATTTGTATGTATCATATTATTTAAAATCATTGTAGCAAATCCGAGGAAATTTAAAATTTTGAGTCTCACGAAGAACAATTACAAAATTTGCAGATTGAAAGAAGAGAAGAATAAAATAATTAGTACTACTACAAGCAAGAATTAAATGAAAACTTAACACTGAATGTAAAAGAATTTTAAATATATCGTGCAACCCTTTGCTTTACCGGAAATAATGTTTATCAGCAAAAATATTTCACTCGAGCACACTTGCATTCTAACTTTCTGCAATCAGAGTGGCACAATGCCATTTCGACACCATCACAACATGATATTTCTTCAAAAGTTCTCTTTTACCGGCAAAAAATTCCAAACGTTTGCATTTGTCATCAGCACGACTTTTAATAAACAACCGTCCAATACACTTCATTAATGAGCAGTAGTATTAAAGGAATGGGTTCCTTCAATTTCCTATCTGAGCCCGTAAATCAAAACTTGAGTGTCTTGGTATTCATATAGCAATTTCACAAACTCGTCCCTTCTATATCACATAGCTACATTAAAATTGATGATTGCGGTGCATACTAAATTAATTAAAACAGTTAAAAGTGGACCGCAAAATAGTTTATTAAAAATTATAAACCAACATAATTTTAAACTACAAACAAGCCGCAGGCATAATTTTGAATATATAATAAAGTTGCGTCATATGCCACCTTATATTATCTTCTCTGATTAGTGCTCCGTGGAACAAGTTAATCGTTAGCTAATTAGTTGCCATTTTCAACATTCATCCTATTAATTAATTACATCCAAAAACCAACCAAAAACAAACCAACCTGGAAAGCATGAGCACATGGCCGGGTAGGAAGTTGTACGTGGTGTAGACGGTGCAGATGAGAATCAGGAGTAGCAGGCCATCTTGCAAATGTTCAGTTTCGTCAGCATGATATGGTGCGGTAACATTTTGCAGTGGAATATGAAAAACATGATTCACTAGTTTAAGGAATAAACAATGCGTGGAAAATTGCAGACAATCGAACACGTTGTTTAGGCCAAAACACATAAATAAATTTTCTATGTTGTTAGGTACAAAAGTGTTACACACTATATAAACTATACTTAAATAATACAATACCACTATTGCATAGGTTGTATATTTGCCTGCAGTTAATGTTATATTACTCACAATTAAATTCACTCACAATTAAATTCATCAGGTCATGTATATAATTAAGACATACACACACACACACACACACACACACACACACACACACACACATATATATATATATATATATATATATATATTATATATATAAGAGTGTTGTTTGCAAACTTCTACATGGGATATTTAGAAGAAACTGTTTTCCAAAACAAACCACATCTCAAACCCGAAATGTATGTAAGATATGTTGATGATACGTTCACTATAGTAGAAAATGAAAACAACTTGATGGACCTAATTGATGAATTTAAATCCAACTCAGTTCTTTCCTTTACCCATGAAAATAATAAACAGCTACCATTTTTGGATGTCCTGATAACCAGAAATGACATTGGTTTTCAAACACAAATTTATGTAAAAGACACCAATTTGGGATTTTGTCTTAATGGTAAAAGCGAGATCTCAGAACAATATAAAAATAGTGTTATATTTTCTTTAGTTAACAGAGCGTTTCAACATTACTCTGATTATACACTCATAAACTCAGAATTATAAAGATTAAAAAAACTTCTCGTGAACAATAATTACTCTTTGAAACAAATTGATCAAGTCATAAATAGATTAACCAAAAAATATTATGAAAATGCACAAAATATACATCAAAATAATGCAATTACCAACAACGTTCCAAACAACAATGAACAGGAAGATAATGGCAACCCCTCCACCACGTCTAATAACTTTGATAATAACAGCATAACAAGCCTCACCACAAACAGTAATAACAATAACAACAACAATAACAACAACAGCAACAGCAACAACAACAGCCGTATCATTAGAAACCAAATCAACAACAAAATGAATGACAAAAATAAGATAATATTTTACTACAAAAATACCTTTTCAATGGCGTATAAAGAAGATGAAAGAATTTTAAAAGAAATAATACGCAGAAACGTAGTAGCGTCAAATCCAATTAATAAAGTTGTTCTTCGAATTTACTATCAAAATTTAAAAACATCCCAACTAATCATGAAAAATAATTGCCTGCCTGCAACTACTCAACTAGAACAAAGTCATCTAAAATATGAATATAAATGCTCCGTCGGTGAATGTTCGCACCGCCACAATACTTCATATATTGGAATGACAACTACCACATTGTCAAGACGTTTGACCATGCATCTACAAGATGGAGCAATTAAACAACATTATCAACAACAGCATAACATCACTTTAACACGACAAATGTTAAATAACACGCAAATAGTTTATTGCAATAACAACATCACAAACCTGAAAATAGCTGAATTAATTTTCATACAAAACAAAAATCCCTCCATGAACATTCAAGTACAGTCTAACAACATTCTACTTTCAAATAGACTACTAAATAAAAACAACAATCATTATAATTATAACAACAACAATTACGACAACAGCAATAATTATAACAATGTTATCACCAACAATATTGATGATGTAAACAACAATCATACCAATAGTGACAACTTCAACAACAACATCAACAACACCAACAACAACATCAATAACAACATCAACAATAACAACAACTACAACAGTGCCAACAATTTTATTGGAAAATATTCTCGAATGCGCGTGTACGTATATGTGTATGTGTTGTGTGTGTATGTGTTTGTTTGTGTGTGTGTGTATGTGAGTGTATGTGTGTTTGTATATGTGTGTGTGTGATATAAAATATTTTTGTAAAAGCATGCATACATGTGCTTAATTATTTGTATTATGTCGAAAAATTTGCAATAAGATTATATAGAAAAGAAATTTGGCATACGCAAAATACAGTAAACCATATATCTGTCAATAGATAGGTAACGAGAAAACCTGTAATTGATCTGGTGGTGGTTGCCACTGGAGATCCGATCTACATTTCGAGCAAGTAATAATATTTTTGGTGATTTTACTCAATTTTTGTCGACCAATACACAAAGAACTGCTCTTTGTGTGTGTTTGTAGCAAAACTGCAAACAGCGGTTCACAGATTTAAGTCGATGCTACAGAACTTTTTATGTTCAAAACTTTGTATTAGTGTAATTTTTTCTAAATTTAATATTTGAGCAAACTAAAACTTTAAAAAAGATTTTGTTACGTACAGTCAGCTACAATTTGCGTGGCTTGCATCGAGCAAAAAATGTTGCTAGACTCTTTCCAATCAATTGAGTCATTTCTTTTATTTATGGCACTGAGTATTGAGCATCTGATAATGAAAACATTTTCTTTTTATTCGTGATATATGAACCTGATCGATCAACAACGGGAGACCATTTTTAATCCGCAACTCCATACCTGCTACGCACAAATGCGAAGGGGTAAGCAGCAAATCTTGCGTTTTTGTTTACAAAATTCATGTAACATTAAACCTGAAATTAATTGTGATATTAGGTAAACTTGCAGGCTAAAAAGAAATTGAAGGGACAAAATCTGACGATTTATTTTTTCATAGTACTATAATATGCATGCATATACTATAAAATTTTTAAGAGCAGTTTTGTGGTGAAATTATTAGACGTTCCCAAAAACAAAAAAAATTCAATGAAATCTTTAAAAAATGGTGATTTACAATAATTTGTTCACAAAAATTTAATTTATTAAAACGTAGCTCTTGTTGAGAAATAACTGAGAAATAACTAAACAAGTTAATTTGTCTGCCTTTACAGCAACTAATGGGAAGTGAAAAATAATAAAGTTATGCCTGGCAATTTAATTGTTCAAATATTAACAAGCGTTGAATATCATTAAAATACGCAATCCGTGTGTAAACTATCCCAAAATTCTTGTTGTAATCCTTGAAGCAGAATTTTAAAATAAACTTACCGAAAACTTGTCAGATTTTTTAAAAAACAGCAAGTAAAATACTAACAAATAAATAATCTGTCTTTTATTTTCATTTTATGGGCAGGGGTGTGATAAGAAATGCTGTTTACAATAGAGTAGATCAAATCTGCCATGTTAATTTAGTCTCAGTCTCAGAAATAGCTTTAATTAAAAAAAAATGAATTTTTTTAATTTTGTTAAATGCTCGACAGAATTGAAAAAATGATTGCGAATGAATATTGCACGTAAACATTACCCTTCTTTCTATGTTTCGACAAGCCTCCATTTGTTATTCAGATGTCTTTTGTATCGAAATGATTAATATGTTTGTCATTCGTTTCTGACGCAGCCAACATATGACAGCGTAAATTATAATTAAAATAATAACAAGTAGTCAATAATAACAAGTAGTCAAGTGTGGAGAAATGTAAAAGGATACGAAAAATGTTCCTCTCCCATGGTTCGAGAACGGCCACTCCGAGACTCATGCTGTAGAAGAAGTAGGCTCTCTCGACCATCTCCTTCAACTTTCTGCAAGCGTCCTCCATACTTCTTCTTCCTTTCTTCAAAAAATTTTTAACATTTACTTTTGAACGAATGCAAAACTGCCAACCATTTTTAAAGACGCACATTGGTCCATGTTGAAATTTTTTTTTACAAAAATATAATTAGTAACCTACCCTGATCAATTTTAAAATATGCCTCTTATCTCCTCCACCGAACAACACAACAAACAGCAAATTGTATAATAGAAAAACTATTTAGTTTTTATTCTTTTGCTTAAATATTAAATTACAACAATACAGCCATGAAACATAACTGCTGGAATTTAATATAATGCGCACAACTGGACGCTTAATTTTATTTTATTCAACGCCACTAAACAAGCACAGCACGAACGAATGTTTCGTTTGTGAATGAATATTTATTAATGAATGTTGCTTCTGATAAATAAATGAAGCAAGTCTTTCAACGTCTATTCGATTGGTACAAAAGCTAACAACGTGTGTGCTATACGCACTTAATGTCGTATATATATATACATGTTGTGGATATGAACTGTACCTATGTATATATGCATGTTATTTACACCAAGTTGTGCGGTAGGCATACAAGTTATTTATACCAAGTTGCAAGCATTCAATATAAAGTGTAACATAAGACTAATTCGCTTTGTCAACCTCCTTTAAACAATAACACGAAAGTATTGAAATATTTACGAGTGTTGAACCAACAAAAAACAAATAACAATCAAATGCTTAACTATAAAAATTCTAATTAGAAATAAGTTTAAAAATGTCAAAAATGTTTGAAGTCAAATAAAGAGATTTCAAAATTATCTGAATGTGCATTTTATAATTATAAATTTCAATTAATGTTGGAACGTTTGAGAAACCAAGACGATAAACGAATGCCAACACGCATTACGTTGAATCGTCTGGAGTGTTGCCACACAATTAGTTATTTCTAATGTTTCGCTTATGATACCAGCAGACGTCGACTGTGTCAATAACAAGTGGTGAAGTTTTTCGATTTAGCGAAATTAGCTATTTGATGAGTATTTACTGTTATATTATTACTATGGAAATACGTTATATGATGTGAGCATTATTTTAATAATCCTGTAAACAAAAATTTTTATTAAACTAAAAATTAAATGCTGCATTGTTTTAAAACTGAGTGAAATATTATGATATGTAAAGGTTTATGTTTGTATTAGGAGTGAAATTTTATAGTTTTCAAGTGTAAATTGTCATTTTTTATTAACCTTCAGACATTTATTACATTAGAAATAAATAATAGTTTATAAATATTTATGGCATCTTCTCTTGAAACCTTTCTAAATAAAAGTTTTTCGACGAAGAAATTTCAAAAATTCGGCTTTGCTTCGGCTATGAAATTGGCCGCGTAGTGAGTTTGGTAACATTCGTTACAGTTTATTGTAGTCATAAATCGTTTGCGTATCTCACACGCAATTTTTTTTCATGAAACACGATCTTGTAAAGTCATTTTTAGGTTTTTAGAAGAAGATTGAATTATTTATTATTCAAATTTATTACAGAATCGGGGGAAAATCCGACTTTGAATATATTTTTTTTCTATCGGATTCATGTAATATTTTTGCTTCATTCAGAAATTATTTTGATTTAAGAAGAAATTAATTATATTTTTTAAGTGTATATACGTTTAAGTGTTTGTGTAAAATGTGTGTTTTTATGTATATATGTGTATTTGCGCAGGGATTTTGTAATTAAATACATTTTTATTTCAATGTGTTTCTAATGTCAACAATCAGCTTGGTCTTTTTACATTTAGAAGATAAAATTTTTCTTCCATTTGAACTGTTTTCTTGTTTTAATAATAATTTTAGCTTTAGAGAAAGCTGTTTATATTTTGTTTAGTTATATTTAGTTTGATGTTGACCCGCTACTTACGGGAGATAGGTAAATTAGGTATATTTGTTATGGCTCGCACGCTGATTTATTTCGTCCATATCCTTTTTTTTATTATTTTAATTTGAATTCTTCTGAACAAATGGAATTAAGTAGATTAAATGAAATTAATAAAATGTTTTCCACTCAAAATAAAATAGATTTTTTATGTTTGTTTTCAAGATTACACATTTGGACGAATATGCAATCACATGACATCTGCGATTATGACGTATCCGTAGGGTGAACGTGGACACCAACCATTATCGATTGACCACCGACAACAACAGCTAGCCACTGCGCTGATGGATATATTTATATTCTTGCTGTGTCTCTTCCATCTTGTTCTTCCTCTCCTCCGCCTCCTCTCTCTCTCTTTCTCTCTCTCTTTCTCTCTCTCCATCACTTTCAAATTTCATTATTTTTATCGTTCGTTAGTAAAATTGAGGTTCTATGGTGTCAATTAATGTAAATTATTTTTATTTTGTAATTACCTTTTCAAAAAATTTTATTTTAATGATTCATGACCATGCTTGTTTGTTTGATTTTCCAAAAAATTCATTGCAAACAACATTTCAAAATTATTTTTTAGTTTATTATTCAGTTCAGCTAAAAACTTAATATAGATTATAGAACATATTTTCAGTCTATTCGCAGTAATTTATGTGTTGCTGAAGTTGAAACAAAATTTCACACACATTTTACGTTTGGTTCTTTCTTCAAAAGAATGCATGAAGAATGGCTTTTATAAATAACTAACTACTAACGTTTTATTTTAGAAATTACTAAAACTTCAGAATAGTTAGAAAATCACTTTTAGATTAATGATTAAACTCTTAATTTCAGGGTTTTTTTTAGGAATTTGAATGACATAAATAGCTCATTAATTCGAAAATTATTCGATTTTTCATTAAAAGTTACTGAATCTACTTTTTCATTAAAAGTAACTGATCTACTTCCTCAGTTGATACCGACAGTGGTAATGTTCCAGTTTCCATCGTCAAATCTCCGTGAATCTGGTTTTTACAACACATAAACTTATCGCAAACAAAAAATAATTGGAAATTATCACTAAAGCAGGAATAAGTTTTGATCAAAAGTTCTCCTTCTTCCTGATTTTTTGAATTGTTTGCACCATTAAACAGTTTTTAGTAGTTTTGATTTTTAAAATATTTGCTATGTAAGAATTTCCTCACGACAATCATTTTAATTTTTTAATTTTACTCTCGTCAAAACGCATGAGCATTGAGCAGCAGATAACATACATTTTAACTTTTATTGTGGTAAATCATGGATGAATCTAATCACTTAAAATTATATTTTTTCTGAATTTTGTAAACAAGATTGGATTGGAAAATTTGACGAAAGTCCAAAATTGTCGATGAGTTGCAGAAACGTGATATGAGATGAGAGAATCATATATGACGCATTATGAGGTTGCCACATGCGATACAAAGAAGATGCAATGAGTAAAAAGCCTGAATTGGTCAATCTCTCTTTAGTATTTCTGTGTAGTTTTTATTAGAAGTCTCTCGCATGTTTTTTTCATTAATTACGAATTTGCTTCTGTGTGCATTATTAAACTATACGCAAAAATCTTTGAATCCTTCCAGTGGCACCTGTCAGAAAATTCGTCTAGGTGCCCCTCTGCCACTTCAATTTCGGTAACAATTTACAATATCAATGGCGTAAGATAGTAACTCAATTAACTATTTAATAAGTAATATTAATATTGATATAAATAATAATATTATGCTTGGTAATTTTTTTTCCAATTTTTAAATTTTCTCAACATTTTGTATTTTTTACTAAGTTTTTTATATGTAGACCAACCTTTCCAACTTTAATTGCTACTCAAAATTTTTTCTTATAGTGTTTTATTATTTTTTAATTTTTATCAATTCACTGTAGTCATCCTGCTTGAAGTTATATCCATATATCTTAATTCTGAAATAACACGTATGGTTGTATCCAATCGAAGTGTGTCTGGATGTGACCTGGTGTTCAAACTCTAGTTTTAAGCTTATCTTGATGGTCGTTTGTGTTAAATTATTTTCTTACATTAGCATCTTCAATCAAACTTTTTCATTTGTTATAAAAACTTTTAAAATACATTCAACTCCTATTTGTTTCGACAGTTGACATAGGTTCTTTGTAATAAAGGGAAATTAAGGATACAAAGGCCTCTCCCTCATGTCTGGTTTTATTCTCGAAAAAAAATCTTATGTCAAAACTGCTTTAGTCTTGCTTCAAGTAAAGCTTACAATAAAAGAAAGCGATAGGCCAATTCTAATGCAGTTCCAGTAACCTTCCAGTCTTGATCATTTCATTTGAGCCGATAGAATAAATTTTACACAGTTAAAACCATTACATAGCTGGTTTTCTAGCTAGAGAAAGCATTTAATCTCATTTCGGGTGTGGTCATATTTTATGCAAAGTGGCGGATTAATCCACTAGCAGATAAATATCGATCGTGGTTGGTTTTGTAAGGACGCAAATGTTTTTGCTCAACGTTAAGTTCAAGTATTCTAGCTCAATTCCAACTACCACTAAAAGTTAATGCTAACTCTTTTTTTCAATTATGAATATAATTTAAAAAACAAGTAATTATGTTTTGAGAGGGTATATTCTATATATGTGTATATACAGTCGACAAAATAAAATGAATTTTAAAGATTATATTTATCTGGGTAATTAGATAGACCAAAAATCATCTTTATTGTTTTGCTGCTGCAAAACATTTGCTGTTGTAAAATCTTTTAAACTGTTTTAAAATGTTTTTTGATTTAACATTTAAAATAGGCACATGTGGAAGCTTTTGATAAGGGTGTGTGTCGTTAATTGTCGTTTGTACGCGTGTGTTCGTGGTGACGGTTTGTATCGTTGTGTCGGTTGGTTGTTAGTGAGTATGATAATTTGAATTTTTCCTCATCTATGTCTGACATCTCCCTGCCTCTGTCTCCATCTCCACTCCGCTGCACTAACTTGTTAAGCTGAAATAAATATTCTTTCGAATACGACCTGGAATTAATTCAATTTTTGTTTTAATGCAAAGAGGCAGGCAGTTAATTAATAATTATTATGTAATTTTTAATTACTAAATTAATTACTAAAGTTAAACAAATTATTGTTTGTTGATAATAACTTTTAAAATTTTATAAAATAAAGTTGAAATATAATTTGGATTACCTAGAGGATAGAAGACATTACCATTATCATTTTTAATACTATTTCTACTGTGTACTCTAGCTTGGTCTACTAATCTACTTTCTACTAATTAATAAAATGAAAATCTAATATAATTAAATTTGTAAATGTTAAGAAATATTATATATATATAAAATAAAAACATTCATATACAACACGCAATACACTTATA